TATCACCCCTCCCTTGAACCTGTACGGAAATTCCTCAAAAAATTGCAACCCGTACTAGAAGGAGACCCTATTCTTAAAAAGATCTTCCAGAGCCACCCATCCTAGCCTTCAAACAAGCACCAAACCTCGCCAACCTTATCACCAGAAGCAAACTTCCTCAAGCCCAGAACACACCAAAAGGATTCAGACAATGCCATGGCAAGAAATGCAAAACCTGCCAACACATCTCCACCACCCCCACTATTACTACACCCCACAACAGAGCCATTAGCATTCCCGGATCTTACAGCTGTACCTCCACAAATGTAATATATCTCATCCAATGCACCAAATGCCCTGATGGAAAATACGTAGGAGAGACCAAACAACAACTGCGCACCAGAATGAACGCACACCAGAAATCTATCAAAGACAGAAATACCCAATTACTGGTGGGGGCACATTTCTCACAGGAGGCCCACTCTCTCTCCAATCTCTCAGTCCTGATCCTCAAGGGAAATTTACACAGCACTTCCCAGAGACGAGCCTACAAGCTCCATTTCATCAACCTGCTGGATACTAGAGATCATGGACTAAACATAGACATTGGATTTTTGATACATTATAATCTACCTGGCAACTGACTCCCCAGCCCAGCCCAGCCCCTGGCTTCTTTACTTTTCATTCCATTCAGGAAGAGCACACACCAACTGCTGAAGCTTCCTTAGTCTGACGAAGGGTTTTTGAACCCGAAAGCTTGCTTAATAACTATTCTCCAACCATTTGGGTTGGTCTAATAAAAGATATCAAATTCACCCAAGGAACCTTGTCTGCCTATGTCCTTAGACCAACACGGCTACAACCTACACCCTTGTATCCATCTGAGCATTCACAGAATTTAAGAGGATTTAATAGTACTGTAGATGTTGATCAGAAAGTCTTACATTTCCAAAGTTCTTGAGGTCTTGTAGCACTCCCTCCATTACATCTTCCTTCATCTGAGAGAAACCTGCTTTCCCACTATGAAGGCAGAAAGAGAACATGAAAAAGAAGGGATAAGATGGGAGAGAAAACATACTCCCCTCAATGAGCAATCTAAAACCAAAAGTAAACTTAAGACTGCCACGGGATATATGTAAGCTGTACTTAAAATGAATGCCATTATGCTACAGGAAAGGTCTGTATGGCTTCACCCACCAAATGATTTATAGTCTTTCATTTGAATCACGAGAGCATTTTGTGTCTCATCTATGATAAAAGGTCACTTTAAGCATAGACATGAACTGAAGGAAAATAATACTGGGTGTTTAATCATTGTTACAACTGCATGTTAAAGAGAGAAAATACTTCTTCCATAAATACTCAAATACAAGACCAGGTTTATTCCCCTCAATCAACATGGGGGTGAATCTCCTTAACTTACATTTGCATACAAGGAAACCTCACTAAATACATTGTCTATCATTACACTGTTGCCAAAAGCAGTATGTGCCCAATAATGGAAACCAGCTATAAAGTTGACTAAATGAAGCCAACACTGATTATGATTATAAAACACATGGCCCATACAGAGTAAAGATACTGATGGGAGGGAGAGGGAGAGAGGGGACAAGGGGACACATGTACGTGTGCCTTAAAAAAAAAAAAAAAAAAGAGCAGTTGCTCCCCTGGCAGGGAATGGGTGCCAGCCTGGAGGTACTGCAATACCAATACCAGGCCAGCATTGGGATGGCCAGAGCCAGACCTGACACCCTCCCGTTGGTGCCAAAAAATGCTTGATCTTAGCCTTTAAAAAAAAATGTTCATGTCTCAGGCCAAATTAACCAAATCAGTTCCAAAATCCATCAGCTGAGCAAAGCCCAGTCATTCAGTTCCATGTGGTGTTAACACCAGCAAGTATCTTACTTCCCAGGCTCTTCAGCCTGGGGCTTCAGATACTCACAAATCCATGTCAGGCATTCTATGTGCAAGCCCCAAGCCTGGAGTCTTGGGGTTCAGATACCCCTGAGTCCCACTTTCCCTTAGCCAAAAAAGGCAAAGGAGGCAAGCTAGAGAGAAATCCCCCATCTCCATAAAATAAAGTATGTAGCTGAGATTCTCCCATTGGGAGGCTATAGCAGACTCTCATAGGGGTGCATGCCAGCAGTGCAATGAACAGGTCTCCACCCTCAACTATACAAAGTCATTCACAGTCAGGGAGAAGAGGATCCCTTTTTTGAGGTACAGCAAAACCACCTAGACCAATCCTACCTTCTACCGTGGTGATGATCACGCCATCTCCCCTGCCAGGGATCTTGGCCAAATGACAGGTTAGTGCAAGGGCGGGCAAAGGTCAGCCCACAGCAGACTCCACTTCTCAGCAGCCCCTGCCCATGTTCCTGCAGCCAGTTTCCATGGAGACCAGCCCCAGCAGCACTGGCAGGGCGGGACCTGCTCCGGGCCTGGGATCTTGCAGTGGTAACAGTGGTCTGGAGCCGGGGCACAACCATGATCCACTGCCTGCACACCCCAGGCAGGGAAATGCAGGCAGCAGATTGTGGCTCTGCCCTGGCTCCAGACCATACTGTCACCACTGCAAAAATCACAGCCCTGACCATGAAGCAGCTACTCGCGCAGCTGTGCACCCTGCCAGAGCTGCTGGAGCTAGTCTCTATGGAAACTCTGGCCCCATGCTGTCACACTAACACAGCTCCTGGGGTCTCCATGGAAACTAGCCACAGAGACATGGGTAGGGGCTGCTGGGAAATGGAGTCTGGCCACCAGCCAGATTTTTTTTTTTTTTTGGTGAAAATTTTTCATATTCCAGGTCAAATTTGCCAAATCAGTTCCAAATCCTCTTGATTGAGCAAAACTCAATTGTTCAAACATTATATGTGGCACTACAACTGGCAAGTATCTTCCACCCCAGACTTTCCAGCCTGGGGCTTCCCAAATCCATATGGCAGGCATCCTATGTGCAGGCCCAAGCCTGGAGTTCTTGAGGTTTGGACGCCCCCGAGTCTCACTTGCCCCTAGCCAACAGCCATAGGAGCAAGATAGGGAGGAGTTCCCCATTTCCATAAAGTAGGTGTGTAGCAGAGATCCTCCCACGGAGCTGCCCACTGGGAGGCCATACCAGACTCTCATAAGGTGTCCTGTCTGCAGTGCACTGGACACGGGTGCAACCTCTACTACACAATACCACAACTCCATCTGGGTTGGGGCAGCAGGCCAGTGCAGCGCTTGATCTTAGTCCACAAGAGACTGAGAAACAATCTACCATTTTGCCCTCCCCTGGGTTAGTGTAACCCACCTAAATAAGGTATATTATAATACCCTTTGTGCTCAGTCCCCCTCAGAAATCGTTTTAAAGTCATGGTAAGCCACTATACTGAACACATTTTATACTTCTGCTTCACTCCCACAGCTAAGCCACACCTTTCCTTCCCATTTCCAAGGAGTCCTGTTTCTTAACCAGCCTTAAATGACTAGTAAACATCACTAAACAGGGCCCCAGACAGTTTGACCAGAATCCCTCTGTCACCCCTCTCTCAGCCTGTTGCATACGATTAGTGTGGCCCACCCGCCATGAGATGGAGCCTCCTGCATCTCATCTAGATATAAATTTTCATGACAAAAACACCTCCCGCCCTTTAAGAAGAAAAAAAAAGGTGAGAAAACTCCAGACTCACTGTTCCTACAGGTGGGGGGCAATCCCTGCTGCCCCCCACTGCCCCATGTTGCATGGGGGCTCTTCCATGAGCCCCCTGAAGCCCCGGGGCCACTGCAGGAGCGGTTAGTCCCAGGGCTTTTCTCCATTTTTTTTTTTCCTTAAAGGGTCAGAGCTGTGGCAGGCAGGTCAGCCATTGTGGGGTTTGGGGGGCTTGTACAGAGCCCCCCATGCAGTGTGGGGCAGTGGGGGACATCAGGGATCACCCCCATCTCCCTACCCAGCAGCACCCGGTGAGCACCAGGGCTTTTCTTTAAAGGGCTGGGATCTGGGGCAGGTGGGGCAGCCATGGTGGGGCTGGGGAAGCAGGCAGGGGATGGGGCCTGGCAGGGGTGCCCCCATTGTCCCCTCCCCCACCCCCTACTTACCAGCTCAGAATCCGGTTGCAGCTCCCTGCTGTAGCCACCAGGGACTGCCCGAATCAAAGTTATCCAAATCTTTTCCGAAGATTCAGAGAGCTTTGAATTGATTTGGACCTTTTAATTGGTCCCAATTTGATTAAGATTCAGCCACCAAATCGGGCCAAATCTCCTCCGAATCAAATCACCACCCAAAGCTTCGCACAGCCCTAATACCGAGCACTGTTGAGCTCTGGATTCACCATGGTTTTAAATGCTGTTATTGCTGCTGGGGCCTGCCCCAGTGAATGTGTGTTAAATCATGAGTCTTTTTGGCTTTGGACAAATGTTGTGCATAGTTTGTACAATATAAAAGTAGGTAAAGAAGAGCTACTTAAAAGTGTGTTTATGGAGTACCCGTGGTAAAACTTGAAGTAGTTATAAAAGAGGGAACCTGCATCAATTCTGGAGGAACTAAGCCTATGGGTACCTGTAGTAACTTCCCTATTTGAAAGTTACTACAGGTATGTTTATTTCCAGATTATAAATTATATATTTCCCTGGAGGCAGGGAAATCAGGGCCCCAAGCCCTGCAGATAGTGCTGTACAAACCCCGCTGAGGATGCCACCACTCTGCGCAGCCAATGCGTGCTGCTGGCTACTCGCCACCCCACCCCAACCACTCGCCACCCTGCCCTCCCGCTCTGGCCACTCACCACCTCCCTACCCTGCACAGGCCGATAGGCTGCAAGTCCTGCACAGCCCTAGGGTCGGCTCTGCACACTATGGTCCAAGTTATTCACTCCTGGACACTCACAAAACATTTTCCTGGAAGTACTGCAGCCACTTGAAAAGGCCCTTCTGAACAAGTCTCAGTTTCTCCCTAGTGGAGTCTTCAACATGTCTCACTTTTTCATCAATGTGACCCAATAGTTCCCTGAATTCTAATGTCTCTTCCTGCAAATTGGAAAGATCTGCCACATCCTGTATGCATTAAAAAAAAAAAAAAGAGAACAATAAGGAAGAGAGATCCATCTTTTGACTTGGATCAAAATAAATCACAACTACCTCCCCATGCTTCCAGCTTTTTGAAGTACCTACACTTCACAAATTGCCAGGTAAAAGACATCTTCAATTTCAAAATGAACAGCGCAACAGCTCTGCAAGTTTAGCTTTTCATTAGATGTGATAGGATTATGGTGCACCTGCCTGAGCTCAGCACCTAACTCGGGTGCTTGTAGTCAAGCACTAGATGGAGAATGTGTCAGGCCAGCACTGCTGGAAATAGAACTGCAGTAGCATTGATTTGGTTTAGTTATGGAAAGAGGAAGAGAATGAATGAAGCCAGAAAAGCTATAAGGAATAAGGAAATAAAAAAGGTTGGGAGAGTGTGAGACCAGAGAAAGGAAGTCAGAGGGAAGAAAGACATAACAGTATGGGAGAGGAAGACCGGACTGATTCAAACCATCAAACTGGACCAAGCTTTGAAAGTTCAAGTAATAACTGAAACAGTAAGACACTAATCCATACATGCATTCAAATTATCCAAACATTCTTCTCTTCACTGTCACACAGCACAGTAGGGTCATACCTCTGAAGCCAGGAGTAGTACAAAATGTTTGAGAACTTTGGTCCAGGCCTTTTCACTAAGATAAAGCTTGCGAGCCAGTGTGAGCTGGTTTCTGTCTATCACCTGGAAGAAACAGTGTTACTTACACTTCCTTCTTTTCTTTGGGGAAGGGGGGGGGAGGGAAGAGGAAGCATGAAGCGCAGCATCAGAGTACACCCAAGATAACAACTAACCCCATGTGTCACCACAAGAAAAAAAAATGCAATCTGGTAAGTTGACTTCACTCTATTACTCATTAAAGCTTGAAATATAATTAGCTGAGCTGTACTAGGATATACAGACAGTAGACTTCTTGCGATTTGTCTCCCGCAGTTCCTCATATCCCTGGAATGGCCTCCACTGCAACATCCCCTCCAGATCTTCTCTCCTTCCCCAGCTTGCCTTCTCCATTTACATAAATTCCCCCATTAATGTTTTTCTGCCCCGGCTCTTCCTCGTTTCAGCATCCCCTTGGTATAGCTACTGCCACTCCACTTGTATTTCTGACCCTTCCTGCTTTTTGCTCCAACATCTCTTTACTTCAGTGATTGTTCTCAGACCCTACCTCTTCCTCCATTTTTCTCTCACCTTCTTGTCTCCATCCCCGCCAATTAACAATTTGTTCCATTTCTCTCTCAACTCTCTTTATTTTGTGGATGTCTGAGGATGGCCTAAGGCTTCCCTCTTATTGCCTGAGTGAACAGAGTTGCAAAAAACAAGGTGCAGGGACTGCTGAGGTGCTCCAGCTGTTTGCTGAAACCTTTATTTCAAAGGAAACCATTTCTCTGTTCAAGTTGTGCAGTATCACTGATAAGCTCCAGCTCAGGGAAGAAGTGGCTCCCTTTGGGGAAAAACCCCTACAGCAAATAGCTGGACCATTCATCCTTAATTTGACAAGCCTAATGCAAATGAAGTGGGTTGCAAACCACCTAGATTCATTATTTGATCCAGGTTCTACTGCAATACACAAGATATTTTGTTATCAGAGCCCATAAAAGGCAGCTTGTAGAAGATAACTGTATCAGAACTGGTTTCTGTTCTAGCTATAGCCACCCCAGATAATAGCACACAACTGCAGCAGAACCAAAGGGTCACCTACTCTCACAGATTTGATCCACGGCCTAATAATACAAGCAAACTTCTTGGGAAGGAAAGAACCTCCTCAATACAATAGCCTGACTGGGCTCAAACATAGGGAATGGCCCCTTCTGAAGGCCCCATCAAAGGACAGAGGTCATCTGAACATGCCCCCAGTAGTGGGAATGAAAAAGTGTAAAGGTCAGCTCAAAAACTGGCTTTTACCCCATGTTATCCAAGTGCCTCACAAGTAATAACGCAGTGTCCAAGCTTTAATGCAGAGACCCCTGGTAGATAATTCATGGCCCAAATGTAAAGCAAGAATAGATAAACTTAAGCTTATCATTTGACACACAGAGGGGTTCTCTGAAAGGTAACAACCTCTAACCAAAGTAAGCAGATTGTAAATTTGCATTAACTCACTCAAATTCAGGTATATAGTATTAGAATAATATACCTTTTAAAGCTGCAACACAACCCATGGAAGGCATTTATGATAGGTGCCATATATACAAATAAAAAATGTCAATACTACATTTTCGATAGTGTTTTTATTTGTAAAAAAACTCTGAAGAGATGGAGGAAGAATAAGCATCTGTTAGTAATCACCCTCTTCTTTTTCTGTCACCCATACTACCACGGAGTAATATACTGCATGGTGAGCCCCATTTCTGCAATAAGACAACTTGTAGAGGAAGTACTATTCAAGATGAGCAATGATAGCAGAATCCGGGCAGCAATCATTTCTTAAAAATATCAAAAGAAAATGCAAAACTATCAAGCAATTTTAAATAACAATGGGTGCACATTTTTAGAAGAACTAGTCATGTTATCTAAAGGCTGTGGATAGGAAGCCCTCTGTAAAACCCACGTTTCTATTGTATTAAATGCAGAAGCATTTGTTCCTTGACCCTAATGACCAATCTGAAAAACTCCTAAGTGACGCCAAAAAGTTCTAATAAGAAGTTTTAAACTTGAGTAAGGTAGAGTAAGAAATACAAAGGTGGATAAATGTGTGTCAAAAAAGTAAAATATTTTCCTAGAATTTAACTTGTACACTTTTACAAAGTAATCTGGGTTTAGATCATCTAAATTATGAGGAAAATCCAGAAAACTTTAGTGCCACTATTTTTTAATGCATACAAGCCACTCTGACTTTAACCAAGTTATTCTTCTTTCACTAAGCCTTGAGACCAGAGCCAGAAAAATAAATATACAAAAGCTGGGGTTTCCATAGTAAACAAGACAAAAAAAAAAAAAAAAGCATCAGTGCACTGGGAAACGGTACCCAGACAGGTCTGGGAGGTATACTAGCAGTTAATACAAAATTTCAGTTAATCAACACCTGCCTCTAGAATCCTGGAGTGGAGCGGGTGCTCTAGCTATAATGATTTGCATCTTGCAGAATGGCAATAGTTTCCACAATCCCACCCATACCTACTTTCAGTGCTAGGTCATATGTAGCTGAGCTCCAGACTTCTCTCTCTTCAATTAACAGCTTCAGCTGGCCCTCAAGTCTCACTCTCTGCAACTCATACAGCTCTCTATATTCTTCCACAAGGCTACAAGAAAAAGAAAAAACACACTGAAATATGGGATAAGCTACTGGAATCACATCCCTTTTTTCCTATCCAGTTTTTTACCTCACAGAGCTTCCAAACATTTCTCAAGATACCTGCCCTCCCATCTCCTTATCTCGCCCATCCTACTCTACCAACTTATGAATCCAACAATTCCCTTTTCCCTGACCCACCTACAAGCCTTTCCAATGATATTCTCACTGATATTCTCAGCAAGCCTTGAAGATAGTCCTGGCTGACTGATTTATTCAGGTTACAAGATTTTCCTAGGTCAGAGGTAACTTAGAACTGAATATAGGAGTCTGAACCCCTCTATCCTTTCTAGCAATTCTCAGATTTTTACGCTATAAAGAGATTATCAATAGAGAACAAGTAGAAGTGGGGGGTATCTGTCCAAACTCAATTAAACGTGAGATACGTAGATAATAAATACAAATGACCTTTATTTGTTAAAACTTGAAACATTAGAAGAACTTCTTACCCCCTTGAGGAATCTGGAGAGAGAACCACGCATTCTTCCTCACAGAAATAATCTCTCTTTCCTAATGACTATGAGAAAGCGATCAATGTGTCACATGCCATATTTTCACTCAATAAAAGAAGCATGTGTTTTGCCTTTAACTCAGACATGGTATTGCTTCACTCCCTCAGCCCACCCTAAATTGAAAGCAACTCACTTTGCATTCAGCTCAGAGTCCCGTACTGCAGCAGCTAGTTCCTCTTGCGCCCATTCTGCTTCTCTGGTGACTCTGAGATCGTGTTCTCGGACCTCCCGCAGCTCACTGAAATAGCCCAGAATGGCCCTTTCAAATCTCAGCACATCCATTACAGTTCCCATCCTATCCAGTAATCTCAGTCAGAGCATCCTAAGTGCTAACATGGGATTCTCCTTAAAACAGACAATCATCCATTGCTATGCCTGTCCAATGCATACAAACGATGATCTTGTACACAAGTTATCCCTTTGTATACAGCCCTACATGACATTTTAAGCAATGTGTCTTCACTGTCATCTTCCATTCCTGCACTGCAGGACTCATGGGACTGCCAGAACTGTTGAAACCATGTAATGACACAATGCCCCAGGCTGTCTGCATTACAATCTGGTTTAGGGGTCATTACACTAGTTGCAAGCTAGACTATTCAGATCTTATACAAGACTTTGCTGCAACTGTAAAGTATTGTATACGGTGTAAAGCTGTAAAATAGTTAATATCCCTCTGATCTGCCAGACAAAACGTAAGAGAAGAAATCAAGTGTCTGGGGAAGAGCAAAAAATTTCTATCTACATACTAGCCCTACTGCACAGAAGGTAATGGGCACCAGTCATGATTCAGACCTGGTCAGCCGTCCAATGGATTCCTTGAAATTGTGCAACTCTTCTGTAATGTGCTTGTCCATTACCCGTTGTGCCATCAGTTCTTCGCAGAGGTTCCTCATCTGTTGGGGAATCCAATCCAGTAAATTCACATACTTCTGCCTGTAATAAGAAGGGTAGGAAAAAAAAAAATGGAAAGGTGACTTACCTTTTTGAGAATGCAGGTCTGCTAATCCAGTGTCTCAGGAGAGAAACATCACCACTGAATATGAGAGTTTCTATAAGGCCATCTTTTGAGAAGATATATTTGGGATTTTAACATTGCTGGCCAATTCAGACGCCCCAAATAAAGTATTTCTGAACATAAGCTATTATAAGGAATGATACAAGAACCCTGACTCAGGGATCTCTCAGCTGCTCCAGACACAATAGACAGAATTTTATTTCATATTAAGCAGCCAAACGGCAGATTTCCACCTGCACAAGTGGCAATCTTGGCACTTATGCAGTTTGAGATTCCGTTATCCCTGCAGCATGGACACACAAACATCCACATGGCTGCTGAACATGCACAATAGCCTACACAATCAGGCAGATACGTGGCTACATACATATGTGTGTATGCTTAACGTTTCAAGTTGCATGCCTCCACTAGCAAAAGCCAAGGCTGAGGGACAGGGTGTCACATTTCAGGTATTATCCAGTCCATTCTCCAATCCTCCTTTTGAAGCTGCCCTCCTGAACAACCAGGAGATAGAGTTATGCGGAGCCAGGAGGCAGAGAGCAAACTAGAGGGTACATAGCTCTATGAGACAGATGCTGCTCAGAAGGGAGAAAGTCTGGGATTCTAGCCTAGACCATTGCTTCCAACAGAGGAGAAACTTTTCCACTACTTTCCATCCATTTAATCCAATGAATAATAAATGCATAGTTTAGTTCCAGAGCTTCAAGAAGAGGGCTGGAGAAGGGACTGGATAATTCTTGATCCTGCGGCATTGCGTTTGGGGCAGTACGCTGAGGAGTCAAATTCAGGTTCAAACGTCTGGGTATTTGGGGCACCTAGAGTTTCTGGGTGAGTGCCCTATACATTCAATTACTGGAGCTAAAACATGGATGGGCCCCCCTCCTACTACTATTTTTTCAGGACTTACATTCAGGTATATGCATAGGTAGGCGATTACCACCCTGGTCAGCATATATTCAGTACAGGTGCAGATACTTACACACGCACACTGCACAGGTCACAGAATCACAAACCGTGTACTTGCCAAAAATGATACTTATGTGGCTGGAAAACTTTCATTTTGGAAATATATAGTGAAACAGAGTTCTATTTGATAACTCCAGCTAGATAAGACATACAGAGAATAGAGAAGCAATGTTGGAACAAGTACCAAAGTTAAGGGTAATTAACATTCCTGGTGGCAATTAATGGTTTTATGAAATACAAAGCTAATCAAGACACTACCATAATCTTGAAAGAACAACTGGGTAACTCCATTAATCCTGACCCGACCTGAGTTTGGAAAGCAGTTCTCCTCTTTCTGCACAATCCACGCTGACCTGTCGAATCAGCTCATGGAACACTATGTTGTAAATGTTCTGCTCTGCCTTCAGCACCTTCAGTACATTGTGCAGCTGGTGAAAGACATGAAAGCATTAGGGCATGGTAAAGGAAATTCACCTTTGGCAGCAATGAACTTCGGAGAAAAGAAACAGGGACAAAAGTTCAGTTTCAAAAACCTGAACCCCCTGTGCTAGATTTTCCTTTCTTAATAAACCAATAATAAAGAAATGGAGAATAGGAGAAAACTACTGGGCATAAGTTCATCAGTACAGTTTCTAAAGCAGTCAGCAGTTGCTTAACTTGCCTGCCATTTTTCTTCTTCTTGTGTCTGTACACCACATGTGACCATTTTGTCATACATACTTGTGCTCATTTATTGTACTTTGCAAGATCTTTTATTGTACATGCGCTTTCAAGCAGCAGGCATTGCAGCAAGTGTTACATAATCTGAGGCTCTGTGCCACAGCCACAGGTGGCTGAATCAATGGTATAGCCCCACTTCCTCATTAGTTCCTTGGAATGTCCAACTCCAGTACGTAGGCAGTTGAGACATTGCCACCTGACATGGCTGTCATGGTTCATCAGCCCCTGGTAGCAAGGACTCAGTGGCTGGAATGTCCATTTTTTCCTCTGTCAGGTATGTTCTTCAGCCTCTCATTCCACATTTCTAGTTGTGTCTCCTTGGGTGTGGTATCAAGAGGTTGGGTGCTGGTGAGGAAGCTCCTGCATAACTTCAAATGTTTGTCTGACGCAGGAGGTTGTATGGCTGGTGTCTCACACCTTCAGTTTGGTCTCATCATATCCTGCTGTCCACTGCTCTTCTGATGTCAGGTGGAGCAATGCCAGCCAGCAGGTACACACTGTTTAAGCTGGTAGGCTTCAGACATCTTGTGATGCATTGGCAGCTATCATTCAGAATGGGGGCATGGGGCTTAGCATGTACAGATCTCTCCCCTACAGGGCATCCACACTCAGAGAAGAAGCTGAGAGCCAGAGCAGTGGTTCAGATGGTTGAGGGTCTAGCTTCCCATTTCAAGCTGGTGAGCTTATACAAAATGTTGTTACGAGTGCTCATCTTTGCTTTTGTCTTCGTTATGTGTTTTTTTTGTATGAAGCAGTTCAATTGAGGGCAACTCCAAGGTAAACTGGATTTGGACAATGTGACAGTGGGGTCCAGGACCATGTAATGTTGAGCTGGCAGTTGGTCTCATGGTTTTTCAGATGGAAGGCACACACTTACTTATGTGTTCACTGGGTTGGTATGTAATTGGTTTTCCATTTGAGTATGAGGTTAGGCCAGGCAGTGGGGGCCATAGCAGAAGCATTCACTGTCAGGTAATACCTGTGAATTCTGCCAACACTCCAAAACATGACTTTGTCTTGCCTCTCATCAAGTTAAGGGGCTTTACCATTATCTCAAATGTAAAGAATTAAAACGAACTCTGAATGTCTTTACCCCTGTTCCCATGCATCTAAATCTGCCCAATTACTATGCATGTAATAACTGAAAGTAACCCCAAGATAGGAACATGCTCTGACATGCCATTTCAGACCTGCAACGTTCCTCAAGAGCACCTCTTTTTCACTTTGCATCAGTAGTATTTCTGTAGTCTAACATTATACTTTACAATCAGAAGAGGAGAATTCTGCTGCCTTAGTTACTTCACAGTAGGAGTCCACAACATGTCCTCTGTTGGCAAGAACATTTGTATCAGGAAAGTCCAGTATTTAACACCAGCACATTAGTTGCTCAGCCTTGACAAAGAAGATCAAGACTAAACAGGGCATTCTTAGCACAGGCAACTTGATTAGCACAAGCAGGCTGCAAAGGAGAAATGTGTAGCAGACTATCTTTAAAATTAAAACAAGGGAAGGCCCTTTCACTGTTCCAGGATTTATCCCCTTCAGTAAGTGAGATATTATTTTCTCAGGATTGTGATGAATATTTACCTGGGAAGGCTCCAATACCCCAATTGTCTCATCATTTACTCCAGCCTTTTCTAGCATGCTATCCATCACCTTCATCAGCTGAATGACCTCAAGTCGCCCAGATGGTTTCCTAAAAGATAAGGATAGAAGAAATGTGCCGCAATTTTGCATAAAATAATATGATGCATTACACAGAAATGAAATCAATACTGCCTTCTTTCTGGCACAAATTGGTGGAAGGCACTACTCACATGGATGGGAACAGCCGCAGCCTATTTTCACAATCTTCAAGCAGAGTTGTGTATTTACTATAACAAATACAAATGGAGAAGTGATCTGAGAAAACTCTCTTTGCCAGTTCTGGAATCCAGCTCCTTGTACCAAAGCTCCTATCTAGACTGGAAGCTCTTTTTGCTGTGTCTGTACAGTGCAAGCTGTCTATGGCCAGGGACAGCCTTGTGCACGGCTGGGGCTCCAATGCAAATAAAAAGCCAAAACAATATAACAGTAAGAAATAGAAAAAAAATATTATACCATTTTATACATGTTCATATTGACCCACAAAAGCTTGGATTTAATTCCTAATCTTATCTTTCATTCCCTGAACAAAGGAGGAATGGAAAACAACTATAAAGTCCTGAACAAATTTAAACTGGAAGACTGGTAAACTCAATTCAAGGATAAAAGGTGGAAAAAATTATGGGTTAGTCTGAAGATAGCAGACAGGGTCGAGATGGCATTATCTTGATTACATGTCACCATGCAGACTGGCTACAGATAAAAGGGGAAGAGACATGTCTACAGCCAAACCTTTTATTGCTTACATCCCAAAACACAAAGCAAGTTCCAAAGTCTACCTGTGACAGCACAACATACCTATCCCAGCTGAGGTGATTCAAGGGGGAAGCAGGTAGTACTACACAGGCTGATAGCAGGTCTTCTTGAATTTACTGAGTTCTCCAAGCTTCCTCACAATCTATACCCTATATTTATAGATGGCTTATTCTAAATATTCTAAGAAGTGCTTGTTGATTGGTTTTATTTACATTTCTTTTTTTCACCAAAAGTTTGGGGACTGGACTGAACCAAGTCTCTTGTGGACTTGGAAGGTGTCAATTAATTGCGATTAATATCCTTGTGGAATATTGTTCAGCACTGTCACATTTCTTTTTTACCCTAGTTTATGGTCTTCTCTGACAAAGCTGGGGTTTTTTTACAATTTATTTAAGAATCTTAAAAATATATCTATTATAGCCAAATAGCATCTAATACATTTGGTTACATCAGTCACTACTAATAACTTTTTAAGATAAAGCTATGATATAGATATAGTATATTTGCATTATTTAATGTATGGTCTTCCCTTATAATGTCTCCTTTCAGGCCTTGTGGTCTGTTTAATTGGATCTTATTACTAATTTAGATGTATATGTTGATCACTTCTTTCACTTTGCTGACCAAGTTGGTTATCACATGTCCAATGCTTCACTCAACAGTCACTCAGAAACACTTTGGGTCCTTTTGCTTAGCCACACTTCTGCAGCTTGGTTTAGGCACCTTAAAAATGGTCAAGGCTGGAACCAATGGACAGAGTATCAGGACATGGAGACATGCTAATTGAAGTCATATAAAAGCCAGTGGTGACTTAAAGGAGTCTGTCAGCACTTCCCTCTAAGCATTTGATCAAATTTATACACCCACGTTCAAATCGAACCATAAACATGTTTGATAGGAAAGCCCTTGAAATGTAGTCACAGGAATGGAAAATAGATCTGGCTTTCTTTAGTCATTGCAAGACAGGGAGGCAAAATACTGTTGCCTAGGTGGTTCTGCAGAGATAGGGTGACTGACTGTATTGTGTAACCACGGCTGCTTACAGACATGAAAATAAATATCAAACAGCACTTTACTTTCAGCTCAGTGCCCCTGCACCAAGCGCAGTGCATGCCTAGAAGAGGCATCACGTCAGATTCAATCAGCTGTTACATAAAAGTGCCAAAAAGCCCCACTGAAGTGCGCAATCTATACAGATGTTGGGTGAGCCAGGGCAAAGTAATGCGATGCTTCTTCTAGTAAAACACTGGGGTTTTTTTCACATCTGTCAGTGGCCCATATTGCTAGAGGTGCCTGCTAAGCCACACATTTTACACTCCTGTTTCCTTGACTAGGATAGGTATCTTTGCTCAATGGCTTTGGCTTCATTATCTCTGTGCACTCTACAGTGTAAAGCAAGCCATTAAATGGTGGGCACAATTCCTTGCGAGCCATACAAGCACTCACTCATCAAAATACTCCAAAGGTATGACTCCTCTGTTCTTCACAATGTGAAATTCTTCAGGGACCAGGCTGTCTGCTATGTTTGGCTGCTAAGGACAGAATAGATACATCAGAGCATGAAAGACATTTTTTTCTTTTTTAAAACAAAAGGAAGGAAGGAAGGAAAATACATGTGAACTCTCACTTTCTCCTAAAAGAGGATCTGGTTTTGGTTGCCTAGAAAACAAATTTTGTGCATAAACTTTTTTGCACTATTTTTATCCACGCACATATTTAGAACCTAACTGATGGATGTATTTTATAGACTTTTAAATCCATTTACATAACCAAACATGAACCAATGCTTGAATTCTAACTGTTGTGGTGCATGGTAAGTAGGGTGACCATAAGGTAGTCTGAGACACCCAGGACACTGCTGATTTTCCATCCCCCCTGCCCCCCAGACAGTGACGCTGCTGCAGACAGTGGCAGAGGTCAGTGGGCAGGGGCATAGGTGCAATCCACTCCTGGTGCACCATGCCCCCCTGCTGCACTGTGCCACCTCATTTTAAAATTTTCCCCAAGCAGCTGGGACCAGCCATTAAAATCTGGGACTGTCCCAGGCAAACTTGGACATACAGTCACCCTAGTGATATGGGAGTTGTATTGCTAAGGAAATGTTATAACAACAAAAAGCAACAATTAATCTTTTTGGGAGGTTTTGTTTGTTTTCAAGTGAAATGGATTTAGAGACTGCTGCATAAGAAGTCCACCTTAAATCAAACACAGACCAATGTCAGAGGGATGCACACAGGCATCATCCATCCATTCATCCAAGTCAGGAAGCTATTTTTTATTTATGCTCGGTATTTACCCAAACTCTGTTCTTGCTGAAGTCAATAAAAGCATAATTAAACACATGTTCAGCACAAATTAAAATCTGTCCCTAAAATTGAGGCCTACCAATGGATCCAACCTAAAAATCTTCCCTTGCCACATCAAAATGGAAGCATGCCATTCCTTAGTCAGTATTGCTAGGTACAACAAGACCTGATAGAGTTTGAACTGACAACCAATGCAACCTGCTCTCTTCCAATATTTTCTTCAAAAGCTCCAGCAAGGCCAGGCAGATAACATTAAATTGGGGTTGCTAGAAAGTGTAATTCAAAGTGACTAATGCTATGAAAATTTTGCTCTAAAAATAGAAAAAATGGGAATAGAAAAGGCGGCTCCAGTCTACTACATAAATCCCGCGATTACTATATGTAGTGGTTCCACAGAATTGAGAAGGATTTATCATATTTCTTCACTCACAGCAGGAGTGATGGGCGAGGCATTATTTTGGGTTCGTTTATCACCCCTCTCAGAGAAAAAGCCTGCCAGGGACCTCTCTCTCTCATCTTTTCCAAGTGCAATGTCATATAGAAAGGAAACATCCCTGAGAAAATATGGAAAAAAGTAATTATTCACTGTACCCTTCACCACCCATTCATTCCACTGCTCCCCCCAGCTAGTTAAAAGCCATAGAAGAACTATTCTGTGTTTAGGGCATAACTAAAGCCATGTTATCTTGACTAACTAAAATTCACAGGGTGTTATCTTTAGCCAGATTAATTTTACCACTGAAGGCAAACTATTGTCTAAAAACCTTGGGTCAGAGACCGTCTCTCATACTCACTACCATGGATCTACCAGATACCAACATCTCTAAATTCTGGTATGGACAACATAAGACTCAAACTTAATCATCTTGGGGAGCGATAATGTTATGCCGAAAGGCTAAAGGAGAACTGTACTCTCTTCCAAATCTGTTACGGCCAGGCAGGACTTCCTCAGAGAAATCTTGGATTCCATGTCATATCTCTAACTCCTGGCAACTTCAAAAAGCAGTTTCAAAAAGATATTTTAAAGGTCGCTCTTTACTAACTTTCTGCTTACTTTTTATTGCTCCCACATCTCCCCAGATTTTACTATGGCTGGTTACCAGCTCTACTCGTAGAGTTCCCAAAACTGAAGCATTTGGAAGCACATCTTTAGATATTTAAAAACCAACAGGGAAGTAAAAGTAAAAGCACTGTGTTCCCAACCTCGGCATTTTTTCCTCTTTCACCATAACCATTTCCTCTTCCTTGTTTACCTCCCGGCTCCTGTCAGGCAGATAGGATTGTCTGTCAGGTGCTTGAACTTATTTCTCCGATTAGGATGATGCCAGAGCCCATCTGGAGTGCATAGGAAACCCTAAAAAGCATGCACAAATATCAGTTTCCAGAGGTAAACTCTATGGTCATCATGATATAAACAAAGACTACCTGTCACCCAAGGTGATTATGAAGGACTGACTTATAGTGCAGAGGGCTATAGAGAACAAAGCCATGAGAGAAAGGAAAACTCAGATACTGTGAAATACCACTACAGGCAAGTTAATTTAAATCACAGGGATTTAAATAAAGAATTGCAATTTAATCCAAGAAACACTAATTTAAATAATTTTCATCTTGTTCTTAAATTTGAGCTTTTAGCTATTTTCCTAAAGAAAGGTTGATTATTAGAAAATGAGGAATGACATTTCTTACTTTCTAGATGATTAATGTTTTAATCCTGATCTGGGTCAAACTGATTTTGCATGGATATTGGAATTCAATTAAAAAAAAAAAATGCAGAGAATTGGCATCTTACATTTCTGTACTAATTAAATAAATCTCTGGGTATGGCCAGACACACATTTGAAACATCCACATTTTAAGAGTGAGTGCTTTACATTTGCATGTTTAAACACCACAGAGCCCCTACGCTACTCCAGAGCACTTCAGAGTGGCTATGAAGGCATACAGCAGCACTGCTTTCCAACCAAGGAGAGTAAGAATCCCTGCTTGTCTTAGCTGACCTTGGTGCCTCCCCAGGCTAAGTGAACCAGAAAGCTGTCCATCCTGCTCCCTGTTCTCCCCATATGGGCTGGGAGTAGGGAGTGGAGCACTGTGGGATGCCAGCAGACAGCTGGAGCATGCAAACATTTCAGAAAAGACTTCAAAATGAAGCACTTCAAAAGAACATCCCTCTTTTTCTGAGGGTAATTTTTAAAACTTTGGTCGGATTTGAAACACTTTGCACCCCATGCATGTCTGTACAGCATGTCTGTCCATAACCTATGTTAAATGTGGATAGATAAGAAGTTGATGAAAACAGCCTGCATCTAACACTAATTAGAAAGAAAATAATTATCCAAAATTGGCAAATTCCATGTATTGTTCCTGGGGATCAGGTCCTTCTAAATTTTAGAACTGGATGATCTCAGCCTCTCATGCTTACATTTTATTTCTATATCAGAATAGGAAAACAACTTTTACAGCATTTCCAGCCCTTAATCAGTTTCTCAGATGTAAATAAACCACTTCTCTGGGTAACCCATTCCAGTGTTTCACCACCCTTCTAGTGAGAAAGTTTTTTCCTAATATCCAACCTAAACTTCCCTGGCTATAACTTGAAACCATTGTTCCTTGTTGTGTCATCTGCCACCATGGAGAACAGTTTAGCTCCATCCTCTTTGGGACCCCCCCTTCAGTTCATTAAAGGCTGTTATCAAATCCCCTCTTCTCCAGACTAAATAAGCCCAGCCCTCTCAGTCTCTAAGTCACGTGCCCCAGCCTCCTAACAATTTGTGTTGCCCTCCGCTATAGTCTCTCCAATTTGTCTACATCATTTCTGTAGTGGGGGGCCCAAAACTGGACAGTACTCCAAATGTGGCCTCACCAATGCCAAACACAGAGGAATAATCACTTCCCTCAATTTGCTGGCAACACTCCTACTAATGCAGCCCGGTATGCTGCTAGCCTTTTTCACAACCTGTCCCCAATTCAGTGACTTGATATTGTTGTTTATTTAAAAGATTATAATAAGTTTAGTCCTTAATGCAAGGTTTCACCAGTTTACTCTAAATATGTTTATTTTTAAAACGTATTGATTTTTAAACTAAATATTTCTTTAAAATATTTAGTATTTCAATACTAGTATTGCACAAAAAAAATAAAGTTCTTAAGGTGTGGGAGCGATCAAAACAACTGTCTAGCCAATTTGTGTGTGTTCTGCCTCAAGGTAGAACCAAGAACCAAAACACACAAAATAAATGTTTAATATTGTATAGTCCCATCCCCAAAGTGTGTTGAGCATTTTACAGTCAAGTAAAAAGCAAAAGCCCCTGCTCCATATTGCTTACAATCTAATCAGAATAGTTGTAATTACAAAGTAGTACACCGTTTGGTTAACAAGATTATGATTTTATGAGTCCATGTCATTTCTTGCCAACAGAAACACAGCAAAGACAGCTAGTCTAATAAAGCCATGCGTTACCTTGAAGAATTCAACCTCTTGATTGCACGTGTGGACATTGTACTAAGATACATCTAAAAGGGACAATTCTGATCAGGTCTGATAGGAGGGGGAAAATACACTTCCTGGTAATAATGCACACACCTTAAACTCTTTTGCACTTTTGCCTTTTTTGGGAGGTTGTAAATATTCAGGGTTATAGACAGTGCTGGCAGCAGAGGTCAGCGTTCGGAAGATCTCTTCAGGGATGAAGTGACTTTGGAGGGAGGTAGAATGAAACCTTAAACAGTCAAGCATCCTTGTTTTGTCTTTCAGCTCTGGAAAACAGCAGGAAAGCACCCTACGGTAGATGGTAATACTACATTGCTAGGGATAAAAATATTGTTTTCAAAACAGTACAGTCAACTGGCCCCATTCTGACTGGATCTTTAGTTAAACATCAGTGAAGTACCTCATGGAAACAGCATGATAATGCTGCTGTGCTCCCACTTGCAACATAGTGATGTCTCTTTATTGTCACTACTACTTGCTAAATAGAGGTAGGCTTTTCAGTGAAATTTTCAGCATCAGCAAAAAGGGGGAAAAAAATTTATCCACATACTGCTACTTACAGTTATTTTATATGTCCTGCTGTATTATGCACGTATTAATACAAACCTTTAGATAAGCATTAAAATTACTAACTTCACCACTTGTGGTGGTGCCCCAAGGTGCTGGATTACATTTAAACTACAGTAGATTCAAACGTAACAGCCATGTGACCCCCCCACCCCAACATAGCAAAAATGGTATATATATTTAAAAAAAAGAGGGGGGTGTGGAAAAAAATCTCAACTACTGTACGATTGCTAGTTAGTCAGTAAGTGCATCTACATGAGACGCTTACTCCAGTTTTCCAATTAGTTCCTCAGTAAAGCATCACCATCTACACAAACAATGCTTACTAGGCCAGATTAAACCAATTAATTCTGCCATAGGATAGTACTGTCCAAAAGAAGTACTATTTTATGATGGAGTTATTTACTCTGCTGCAACTCGTGTAGGCACTGACCAGGGCTGGCTAGGGAATGAGGGTGCTACAGTGAGGGGCTGCCTGCCACTTAACCTCACATTGTAGCACCCTCGTGCCCCAGCCAGACCCTCTGCAGCACGTGGCAGGAGCAGCCCTGGACTGGCAGGCTGACCCCTCCCCGCCAGCTCCCTGCCAGCCAGGGCTGCAATGCCCCAGCTCAATGTGCTACAGTCCCAGGTGCACAGGTAAAGACTGCACTTGGGAGCAATGAACTCCGACACAAACCATGCCAGAGTTTATTGCATCAAAATTAATTTAATCCGTAGATGTTCTTTAAAACCGGTGTCTTAAACATCTGTGAACAGCTATTAAACAAAGGCATGACATAGTGCTAAGTCTCCCATAAAAGTACTCCAATACCATCTACAATCCCAAAACGGCAGAATAGACAGAGAGAAAAAGAAGTCATAATTTCCACATGGAATTATATTATATCATCTATGCTGAACTTTACCTGCATTTTCCATACTGACAGGTACCAAAGATGAGATACCTTTCATTTTTCTGCCATCTGGTTTTGATGCAGAGGATGGCCCCGGAACTGGTACTTCATTGTGGGACATGGCAAATAGCTACTGCTCATTTAGCCAAGGAAGTTCAGTTCAAATAACCTGAAAGCAAAGTTAAATCTGAATGTCTGTATCAGTAATTCTCAAGCAGAATGCTGGAATGCCTTGGGATCCTGTCAGGGGTGCTACAGGGTGCCAAAAAAAATGAGACCACTGTTAGGTCTGCAAATATGATTCACAAGATAAAACAAGAGATTTCAAACAGGAATTCACACTGTTAAAAGATTCTGGCTGGATTTCTTCAGAACAGAAAAATAGCATTATTATTTTTCTGTAGTCAAAAAGAATGAAAGCTCAGGAGCTGGTATCTTCCAAGAAGTGCCTTGCATCTAATGAAGGGTGCCTTCAATCTAAAAATATTGAGAATCATTTATCTATATTGTGGGGCTGCCACCTTTTATGCTTGTTAAACAAAAAACACAAAAAAAACCTTTTAATGGAGAATATAACGTGTGCCAGATGCAGAAAGGGAACATGCTGCTTTATTTCACATGCCAATGCAACTCCAGATGGAAATTCACAAACACAACTACAGAAAGAAAAAAAAAAAGATGTGGTTTTACACTTAACCAAATTGGGCCTGCTAAAATGAGTGGGTTTGTATCCAAAAGTTGATGCATAAATCAAGGGGCCTGTGTTTACAACAAAGCAGTCAGTCATAAATCATTGCATTCACATTTAATGCAATTAGACTTAAAAAAACAAAATGCCCAAATATATGATCTTGTAAAACTTAATGCTTCATCCTCTCTAGAGCAGTAGTTCTCACTTCCCCCCCCCCCCCCCCCCCCCCCTCTCGCCCTTGGTC